GCAACGCTCCATCGCAGGGTGCCTCCGGGCGTTCCGACGCCGTCGGGTGTCCTGCGTGCGCTTTCTGCAGCATTGCCTCCGACTGCTGCCGCACAAACGCCGGCAACGACTTCTCCGCTGGATTCCGTCGCGAATGCACTGACGATACCGCCGATTCACGTCGACCATGTGGCCGAGGCCATCTGCATTGCAGCGGATCAGGCACGGTCGGATGTGAGCGGCGTGGTGGGAGTGCAGGAGATGAGGGAGCTCATCGGGTGGTCGCAAAAGGGCGAGCCCCAGCCCAACGCGCCAGTCCATGAGCACATTAATATTTGAGCGTAGTAGTTGTTTACGAAACATACAGAGCGATGCTGCCCGGTGACAATTCTGGTCGGAAGTAGATCTAAGGCGCGCCGAGGCGGGCCCATTCCTCTCGCGTGATCACGAAGCGGGACTCGGGCGTTGGGGGAACAGGTGTGGGTGCATAGATAGGAGGCTTGGTACGCTGCGTCCCCCACTCTCGCCTGCCCAGCGCTGCGGTGACGGTCAGAGAGTACACCGACTCGTCTCCGGCACTTGAACTTGGTGAGACTACAGGCCCCAATGACCCTGCGCAGTGTACTGATGATGCCATACTGTCCGTGCTCGTACGATATCGTCGACCGTCGCAGTAGCTGGGTCGACAAGTAGTCCGACGCAGCAGTTGGGTCGATAGTCTGAAGGAGAGACCTGGGTAATATCTACAGCATCACCCTCGTCGGCAGTCCATGTCTCTTTTGGTGTCCGTCTTATCCTCCGCTCGGCCGAAGCAGCTCCGGACCAGCTTTCGCCCGACATGGGGCTCTCGGAGCGTCAACAGTTCTGCCACACCTCGCAAGGCGTTGCCGTTCTCCCTCTCGCTGAACGAGAATGTACGCGCGGGAGAGATCGCGCGGGACGAGGGCGATTCAGACGCGGCGGAGAGCGGGGTGCTGCGCATGCTTATGTTTGGGAAGCCGGGTGCGGGCAAGGGCACGTTGACGGCACGTCTGGTGAAGAATTACGACATCCTGTCGTTGTCCACTGGGGACATGTTGCGGGGACACATCGCGGAACGGTGCGTTCTACATTCACTGCTGCATTCCGGCGCGTCGCTGAGCTGTACAACCTAGAACGGAGGTGGGACGGATGGCCGAGGAGGTCGTCGCTACAGGCGGCTTGCTCCCTGATGAAATCATGCTCAAAGTGGTCACGAGTAAATTAGATCTTCTGCACAACAAGGCTCGTGTCGGTCTGCTCAATATACCAGACTAGCCGCTGAACATGCCCCTGCAGCATTGGATTCTGGACGGCTTCCCACGCACACTAGGTCAAGGGAAACTGCTCGACGAGCATCTCAGGTGTGCACCTGGTCCCCTGCAACATATCCGCCTATGGTTTGGCTCACGATATTGCGCAGACAACAGGGCACCCCCCTGAGTCTGGTTGTAAACCTAGATGTTCCGGAGTCGATCATCCTCGGACGGATATCCGACCGCTGGGTCCACCTACCTTCAGGCCGGGTGTACAACTTGTCGTACAACCCGCCCAAGGTAGCAGGCCACGATGACGAGACTGGCGAGCCTTTGACGAAGCGACCGGACGACAACCCAGTATGTCCATCTATCTTGTCATGCGAGTCCCATTCTTGACAATTTACCCGCCAGGAAACATTTGCCCGTCGATTGGAGAAGTTCTACGCGTCGACATCGCCGTTGCTGTCCTACTTCAGGAGCAACCGCGCCTCCCATCTGGTCACTCTGACCGGCGCGACGTCAGATGAGATCTGGCCGCAGCTGGACAACGTCGTGCGGTCGTCGTTTCCCGGCTTGAAGGAGCGTCCTGAGAGCCGGGACCTCAAAAGGCGATCGAGTCTTAGCGATGCGTACTCGCGAGGGACGAGAGGAAATCTCACCAACAAAATCGCGATCCAATGCCTAGCTATTGACGTTGTGTTTTTGCTACGTCTACTCATGTCTTGTACGCACTTGCTGTTGAAGTTGCTCATCCCTAGCCTCATCCTATCCCGTGGTCTTGCACTGTCGTTTCATTTCCTGTACATGCGTGTTACTAACCTTCTGTACTGCTTACTTCGCTACACTAATATCAAATACATCTCTGCCCATGGTTGTGTCTCGGATTGCATGCTTTGAGGCCTGTTCATCACGAGTTCTTGTATGATGGTCCCGGCGTACTTCACAGCAAACGGTGGTTTAGGCCGAGATGATTCATGGCACTGTCGGTCGCTTGATGGTCTATCTCAGAGCATACCTATCAAAGAAATCAGTCTCCAAAATGCGAAGGCTGAGAACAGGACCTTGACATTTTCACATCATATAGGCCTTCTGGGAACCCTAGCTGCGTGTCCTCATGGACCAGGTGAAGTCCTGCATCCATGAACACTTTCTTCCAAGCGGCATCCGATCTAGCAACGTGCACAGGAGACGGAATCAGTGGCCAGGGGCAGGGGAGTCGCGAGCGCACTCGCCTTGTGAGACTTGAATCAGTCTCATCAAAGACAGCCATGGGCTCGCCGTCTGGCCCATCCGAGCACAAGTTCTCCTTGGCGACAATCAGACTCCTCGCGGGGTCGCGCAAGGCCGCGCGACTGCGTCTGAGGAAGTCGACAAGGTCGGGGTCGCTCAGGCACCCCAAGCACCACTGGCACCACACGATGTCGAATTTGGACTCGAGGTCGTCTGCCGGTGGCTCGTGCCCCACGCGCCCGAGCAGCTTCGCGCAAGCCAGGGGATGGGAGGGGTCGAAGGCCTGGAGCGTGCCTTGGAGGAACGTGACGCTTTTTTCCTTCTCCAATATGCCCTTCCAGCGCACATGGGTGCTGTCTGCTTGTACGGCGTCTGCAGAGCTCGCGCGCCCGCGGGACCAGGCCTCGCGCACGAAGGTCTCCACCGGCTCGACGAGTACGACGTCGGAGACGAGGTGTAGAAGGACGTCTGCGGTGACGCGACCTATCCCTGCACCGATGTCCAGTGCGCGTGTCCTGCGCGTCGACTCCGGCGGGCGGAGGGGGCGGATGGCAGAAGGCACAGTGCTGAGTTCGGGCATGAGGTAGAGGATGAAGCTGCGCGATCCGAGAGCGTCCACCCTCGGCAGCGACTGGCGAAACTGCTGTCAGTTTGAAGAGCAACATGGGGACATCCTGTTTACCCCGGAGCCGAACCCACCTGGAGGTCATGGTGAAGGCGCAGGGTGCGGTTGAAGGCTGCAGATGGTGCTTACCGAGAACGCCGTCGTAGCTGGCTGGCTGGGAGGTCCAGTACTGGATGCCCTCCTTCACGTCTGGCTGGGGCAGTTGCTGTTGCATGGTCCACTAGTGATCGATTGTCTGCAGCGCTGTAGCGCTCAGGCCAAGCTCAGGCTGGCGCCAACTGCGCGCAGGCGTGACAGACGCGCGCAGCCATGGCCTCCCTCGCACTCGAAGACATCTGGGACGCCCCCATCGTTCCCTCTCCCCCTCGTTCGCCCCCTCGCATCTCCCCACCAGCGAGCGACGACGACGACAGCCTCGCCGAGGTCGACCGCCCCCCAAGCGACCGCGTTCCACCCTCTTCCTCGAGTCCGACTCTGACAAGGAGGCCCCGCGCCCTTCCGCTCAATATGTCTCGCGTGCCGCACCACCTCGCCCCGACATAGACGCGTTATTTGACGACATCGACGACGAGCCGGAGCAACAATTCCAGGATCTCGCCCCCTCTCTCGACTTGGACGCATTGCGACGCGAGGCAGACGCGCGGAACGCGAAAGCCCGGCCGTTGGATCTTGGCATCCCTGACAGCACTCCAGCAGACGGCGCAGATGACTTTGGGACAGAAATTACGGGCACGACGGGATCAAAGAAAGGGAAGGATGGGGTGAAAGAGAGGAAGAAGCCCTCGAGGCTGGACGAGGCACGCCTGCTGGGACCGGACGGGCTTCCAGCCCTTGTGAAGCAGGCGAAGCACTTCAAGCCCAAAGGAAAGGGGCATGAGGTGCGTTCTCTTCTACCAACTGGTCCGTTTAGTCAACATCTGCTCCAGGCCACCGACTTGAACACACTGCTGCAAGTCTACCAGTTCTGGACACACAAAATGTATCCGAAGAACCAATTTCGCGATTCCGTTCAGCGCGTGGAAAAACTCTGTCATTCGAGGAGAATGCATGTGCGTCTCGTTGCATACATCAATGCAGGCCGTGTATTTACTCTACCGCAGGTCAGCCTGAGCGTCTGGAGAGATGAATCAAAGGGCTTGATAAACGGCCGCAAGCGGGCTACAGACTCCACATCAGACGCTGACGGCAGCGACGACGACGACGGTAGTGCTGACGAGGCGGCCAAGCAGCCCCCTCCTGCAGCCAGCGACGCCATCCCATCCTCACGTGCACCCTCACGTCCCCCGTCATCAGCTTCTGAACACACGTCCATGGACGGACCCGATGACTTTGACATGGACGCTATAATCCGCGAAGACGAAGCACGGCAAGCCACTGAGGCTGCACCGCGTGCTGCGCCGCCTCCCAGTGCTCCTCAACAAAGTGCTTCTGCAACAAACACAGCAGACGATGACGACGAGGCCATGTGGGACCAGCTCATGGGTGGAGTTCCAGACCATCCCGCCCCACCACCCATGCCTGGCAGTCGGGAACACGTAGGCCATTCCACACGGCCACAGGATGAGGACGATGACATGTGGGACATCGTCCGGGAGATGGAAGCCGAACCATCTGCGGCACATCCTACATCGGAGGCTCCCCAAGACGCGTCGGCGAGACTTGACATTAAAACATCGTCCGCACCCACTTCCGTGCCTGCACCCCCACCCCCACCCCCACCCGCTGGCGATGATGACGAATGGGACGATATGTATTTGTAGTGCCAGTGTCGCTATAACTTGTGCTCGAATGAATGATCAGCGTGATAGTGTTGCTATTGTTGGCTCCTCCAAGTCAATTGCATGATGGTCAGAGCTCACAGCACCAACATATGCATTGTCAAAAACAGACTGCCCCAGAGAGGCTCGAACTCTCGACCTTCCGATGTCTTCGCATACAACGATAACAGTCGGACGCTGTAACCAACTCAGCCATGGGGCATGTAAGAGAAGTACACTTTTAAACTTACATAGAGTGCTTGTCATTTCGAAGGAACAACATCTCTGTCTCATGTCATGATCATCGCAATATCGACATCATGCCCTCGAATAGACAGTACAGTACTTGTACATCGTGAATGTGGCCATCTCAGTTAATTTGAGCCATAGATAACGATTTACCACTGGCAGGTAGCGCATGACACAACCGAGCGACGCCGCCGGATGCTTCGAGCTCCAGAGCTCCACCACTTACTTCAGCCTGATACCCCAATGGCCACCCGCAAGCGTCGCCGCTCGCAAGCATTTCCTGATCACAACAACATAGAAGAAGAACTACCAATCACCGGCGTCAATAACGAGGATGGAAATGCACACGAGCATGTTGACGACGACCCAGCAGCGCAGGAGTGGACGGACAAAGAGCAGGAAATATGGGACTCGTTCAGAGAGGAGCACTTCGAAGGTCGAATCACTCTGGCTTCCCTGGACTATGTACTGAATATTCATACTTTCTTGTAATCTTCGCGGTGTAGTGCTGGAACAGCTGCCCCTGTCTCTTCACCGGTCGTTCAGTTTGATGCTCGAAATGGATCAGCAAGTGCATGGTATGACACTGTGCAACCAGTTTCTACCCCCGCTGACCGATTCTCAGCGCACGAGGCGCAGATCCTGCCAACACTACGGCACTACATACGACTTCGTCGGACGTTGGCAGGTATCCACGACGAGAGCGAGACTGTCGACGAACCGCGAGCGATTCCCCAGAACGACGGCGCAAAACCTATTGGCACGGATGCTCATGAGCCGCAACCGGAAACACAGATGTCGCCCTCAAGGATGACACGCTCTCGCTCTCTGCACTCAGATGAGACGCGTTCATTGCGGAGCGTATCAGGCTCTTCTCCTAGCAAGACGAAAGGCCCCACTGCATCATCTCCAGCAAAGTCCACTTCTCATACCGTCCCCACCTTCATCCCGCAGCCTCCATCTACGCGGGCGCTACTGACGCAAGTCGCTCAGCTGTCAGAGGAAGTCGTGCGCGCGGCCAACGAGAAAGTAAACGTAGCCCGATTTGCATATGACCTGGTAAGCAGCATCTGACTCTGCCCACATTGCGACGCGCTACAATGCGGATAACGAGACAGGTGGATAGATATATCCGAGACCTCGACCGCGCCATCAAAGAGCAGGAGACGTCCATCTCGCTCGGCTTGCGGCCGGGCACGCACCCCGCCTCGATCATCCTGCCTGAGGTTATCGTCCCGAAGCCCATACGCGCACCGCGCCTCGCGCAAAGTCCGTCACCAGACCTCGACGCTCCGCAAGGCCTCGACGAGGCGGCAGTGGCGGCGGCGGCGGCGGCGGCAGAACCAGAGGGTCCCACGTTGGGCGTCGTATCATCTGAACAACCTCCCCGCGGGGAGGGTGCACCGCGTGTGGCTCCACGGAGAAAAAAGTCAGCTAAATGGTCCAGGAAGAAGGCGCCGAAGGCTGCAGCGGGTGTGGAGAATGCTCCAGAACATGCTACAGCGCAGGAGCCCGTCTCGCCGCGGAAGGTACGGTCGGTGAGGCTGACCATGGCGTCCGCGGCGCCCAATGTGCCCGATGGCAGCGAGATACCGGTCGACCCCGACCCGAACGAGCAGCGGTACTGCTTTTGCGACCGAGTTTCGTACGGCGAGGTGCATATTTCTGCGTAGTTTTTCCTTCGCGTCGTGTTCACACTCTACTTTATAGATGGTTGCGTGTGATAACCCGAACTGTGAACGAGAATGGGTGAGTGATGCTCCTTTTCTGAGGGATTGCGCATATTGTAACTAGACATCTAGTTTCATCTGCCTTGTGTGGATCTCACGATCTTGCCGGGTGAAGACGACAAGTGGTATTGCAGGGAGTGTGCGCCGAACATTGGTCGAACGACGCGACGGAAAGCACGATCGTGATCTTCACGGGTGGTTTGGAGAAGTTTTTCTGGTTATGCGAGGTGCTTTTTTTTTCCCTGCGTGGTTCGATTGATGCACATACTGCTAGGGTCTAGGTTGTTACAGTTACCTGCTGTAATGATATTTATGCAACGTCAGGAAATCCCCGGAAGACGTTATATGGCTCCATCATCCACGGATCCTCCTTGTACAATTGAGACTCTGAAGGTGGCTCGAGAACATCACAAGATTTCTTGCTCGAACTTGAGGAGCAAGTGGTGACCACACTCGGATGTTGATCCGCCAGCCCAACAAGGCCTTGGCTGCGGCCATGTGCCTGCCATATACATATATCATCGCTCCATGTTCTGTCGTAGCCTACGTATACATTGTATGCATAATAGGCCCAAAGTACTTGTAAAGCTTTAAGTTTAAAGGCTCGCGCCATGGGCGCCGTTGCGACACGCACGTGACGTAATAACGCGTCTACGGATTGTCACCCGTGTCGTCTTCTCGCCCTTACCGTCGCGACAAGAAAGGACCATTAATTGCGCATCGTTCTCATATAGGACGTTGCTCTCTGTATTTGCATTGGACCCCAACATGCCTCTCAACCATCGCGGTTTTGGCGCGTTCATCACTTGTGAAGGCAAAGAGCTGGAACTGTATGCGGTTAAAGTGGAGGATGAGACAACTATCACCTGTTGGATTGCCAGTGAGGCTGGCAGGGTGTGTGCTTGTTCCTTCTCCTTTTTGTGGAAGCTGATCGTGCGTGGGCAGGAATTCGAGGTCAACTGGTCTGATTACATGGGCGAAACATACTCGAGCGGACAGGCGTTCATGGATGGACGCTTGTGCAGTCACAATATGTCAAATCTGGGCTCAAAGTCGACTTGTCGTGGCTGGCGCAATTCTACAGACACTACGGCGTTACCAATTTGCAAAGCTTAATCTCACTGGTGAGTGACATGCCTCCCGTTTGTCAGCATTTTGACGTGATACGTCCATGGCAGACGACGATGATATCGCTTCTCCCAAAGTGCCGGTCAGCGAGGAGCTGGGGACCATAGAAGTCAGAATCAGGCGCATCCGAGACTTTCAAAAGGGCTCTAAACCTCCGGCTGTTATCGCTGCTACAGACATCGGACCAGTCCATGAACAGAGCAAGAAAGCGGGAACCAACTGTGTAGGGTGGGTGTCTACCAATATTTGTCACATTCATTGTCGCTGACTCGGAGTTGTACTCTTGTTCCAGTTTCGGAACAGAAACCCGGGTCGCTCCTGCAGGCCCTGCGAATATCCCTAGCTATATTGACGATACGTCGTACGTCACCTTCCGTTTCCGTCACCGGCCCGCAGGTAGTTGTATGTTCCAATCTCTTTCTCGAGCTGCCATTGATACGCGGGAACTATCAGGAATTCTGCAAGCAAACGGGATTATGCCTCTTCCACCTCGTCCTGATATACCCCATCCCTCTAAAAGTCGCAATGCCAACAAGAAGCGGCCTTCCGAAAAACGCAACCCATCCACAAGCATTGATGGTAATCCATCCAAGCGTGCACGCACCACAGTGGAAGACAAGGACGAAAAACCATTAGTCATTTCTGATGATGACGATGACAATGCGGTAGAACTCAAGGTGAGTGGTATGTCTTCCGATTTTCCATACCTCTTCAATTCCCTTTTAGGCACAACTTGGCCAGCTACAGAAAAAGCTGGAAGCCAAGAAATCGAAGAAACCCAGCTTCGTTAAACGCGAGCAATCTCCCATCCGTGTCAGCGCAACGTCGGCTGAAGTGATTGAGATATTGTCGGATTGACTGCAGCTCGTCTCCCGTTTCGCACGTCAGAGTTTCGCTATGATTATTCTCGTCTCTATCAATTCTTACCTTATGATCACTCTGTTGGGGGCACCACTGTACAAGTACCTTCGTTAATAATGTAATTAGGGAATGTGACACGCGCGTGACGTAATACTAGTAACGCGTCGCCCTGACTAGAGTCAGTCGTGTCTTTGTGGTCGTCTTCCCGCCGAAAGAACCATTGTATATCGTTCTCATCTATAATTATCATTGCTCTCCTTGTGTCGTGCCGTCGGACTCCAACATGCCTCTCAACCATCGCGGTTTCGGCGCATTCATCACTTGCGAAGGCAAAGAGCTCGAACATTATGCAGCCAAGGTAGAGGACGAGAAGACTATAAGCTGTTGGATTGCCAGCGAAGCTGGCAAGGTGTGTGTCTGTTCTTTCCCCGTTTTTGTGGCAATTGCTCATGCGCGAGCAGGAATTTGAGGTCAACTGGTCTGATTACATGGGCGAAACACACTCGACCGGAAAGGTCTTCATGGATGGACGCTTGTTCGATCACACTCTAACGGAGCTGGGAAAAACGTCCGCTTCTCGTGGCTGCTACAGTTCTGCAGACACTTGGCGGCGTTACCAATTCGCAAAGCTTGATCTCACCGGTGAGTGACATGCCACCCACTTCAGCTCTTGTTGTGAAACAGCTGTTGCAGACGACGAGAATATCGCTTCTCCAAAAGCACCAGTTAGCGAGGATCTGGGGATCATAGAAGTCCAGATCTGGCGCATCCGAGACTTCAAGATGAACACAAGTTTGCATAACGGTATCGCTGCCACAGACATCGGACCAGTCCATGAACGGAGCAAGAAAGCAGGGACCAACTGTGTAGCGTGGGTGTCTATCAGTGTCTGTACCATTCATGGAGTGTTATCGCTGAGTTGTTCTCTGTTCCAGCCTCGGAGCAGAAACCCGGGTCACTCCTGTAAATTCTGCCACTCCTGTCTTCATTGATGATACATCGTATGTCACCTTCCGTTTCCGTCATCGGCCCGCAGGTGGTTGTCTGTTCCGATCTCTTTTGAGCTGTCATTGATATGCGGGAATTACTAGGAATCTTGCAAGCAAATGGGATTATGCCTCTTCCACCTCGTAGTCCTGAGACACCCCATCCCTCTACAAGTCACAATGACAACAAGAAGCGACCTTCCGGCAAACGTAGCTCATCCACAAGTATGAATGGTAATTCATCGAAGCGTGCACGCACCACAGTGGGA